GGATAAAACATATCCTAGAATCTATTATCTCAGAAATATTTCCATCTCTAGTTGTTTGAGATGTATATTGCTGGTGGAATATGTTCTAAAGAAGAAAAAATTATTCACTTGAGCAACATCCTGATTTATTAACAAACTTATTTACGAAGTTTTTCATTACAGTAGGAAGATTCTGGCTTATCTGTTTGCTTTTAAAATGAAGTTAATTCACTTTTAAAATGAAGTTTTTGAATCATGCCAGTGAGGCAAATTGGCAAGTGTTTAGGATAAGAATCTCACTTTTTCTGCATATCCCTTCTTTTCTCACTCGCATCTACATGTTACTTTATCAGCTTAGTTGTTTTCCCCTCTTCTTACTTGGTTTCTATTCTAACACAACCACGTCTGATAAGTGGTTGCAAACCCTAACCTTTGCCTAATATTTGTGACAGGTTAGACTGTGCCCCAGTTTACGATGGTACATGACAGTGTGAATGTCTCTGTATGAGAACGGCCCTGACATAGTGATAGCAGGGTCAGGCCTTTCATCCTGCTTGTTATGTCATCTGTGAGTAACCATATGGCCTTCTTTTGTACAGCTCTCTCTGCTTGCATGCCAGTAGACCAAACAATGACATTTATTTTGTGTGTGTTTTTTTATTGCTTTATTATTGCTGCCTTAATAATATCAGGTGAGTGATAATGGCAGCTTTCTGTGTACAAATACCTAAATACTAGCTGCTTGCTGCCATGGGACAGTATAGCATTCAGATTTAGATTTGGATTCTCAGGGCTTGTTGCTCTCACACCAGATCTGAGGAGCTCTGCTATAATTTTTGCAACTTGTTGATATCAATAAAAAAGACTACCCATTAATGATAAATGGTTCCAAGTGTACATTAAACCCATAAGCATGAGGAGAGATATGCAGGGTTTTATGACTTCAGATACTGAAATGCACTTAGTATTTACAAAGTATTACATTCTTTCACAATAGCAGTAAGACAAGGAAGTTTATTTTGCTACGCTCAGGTTTCCAAAAATAATACCTTCAACTAAAACTTCCCTCAACAAAACAGAAAATCTTTATATGTTCCAGTACTGAAGCACAATGCAGATCCTGAAGAGTATCTTAAAAATATGAAGAGGAACAAATTATTGTATGATTTTAATATTTTAATATGATTTGATACAGGATACATCAAAAGATACAACATACCATTTCCCAGAATCTCTTCAGCAAAGTCTGAATAACCAGGAAAAATGCCTACTATGAAAATACTATGAAAAAGAGTAGCCCCTGGAAAATGGTGAAAATAAATTACGTGAGATAACAGAAAACTGGAAGCAGAGTATGTTTGGTGGATACAGAACAGGAGCTGATGTTTAAGAACAACATATAGGCAGAAGGAAAGAATTCAGAATACCAGGACTAGAGCACTTTTTCTTCATTTGCCATCAGATGTTTCCTTTATTTACTTGATTACAACTTTTTAAAGCAATTATTGAAAGGACACAAGCTCAAGGACCTATGACCCTACCAATTATCTCTGCCAATGGAAACGATATGTCTTTTCAACAAGTGGCTACTTTAAAAACACTTCATAACAAGTAGGCCAAAAGTACCATACCGTATGATAGGCAAAGAAAATGAATCGAGAGTTATTTATTTATTTATTTTAAATAATGATTTTTTTTCTGAACCATTTTGACTTTTTCAGAACCGGCAATTTCTCTGCAGGATAGATTAAGGCTTAGCATAATTCAGAAGAAAAATTATACTATTATAGTTATGATGATGCATAGTATTTGAATTTTAAGTCATTGTTTAGATAATAGAAAAAAACAGACCTTTTAGACAAAAGCATTACTTAAAGTAAAAAGAAATACGTTCATTTAAACGCAATTGGATGCTCAAGACTTTTAAAAGATAATAAATTTTCAGTGTATATCACTCATGAGATGTATGATACTGAGTTATAAGATGTTACTCTCTATAAAATTGGGTAAGTATACTAAAAAAAACCACTTCATTCAAACATGTGATGCCTTTTGTACAATTTGTATGCTGATGTCTATGGAAAGAGTTGTCAGGAGGCTTTCTTAGGGTCTGTTTTCAGGTAGCTGAATAATGCCTGTCCAAAGATGTTTGAAGTTGTCAACCAAAATTTGTTTGAATTCTTGCTCCAGCATCACCTCATTAGTCTATATGCAGCACTGATGGAAAGGATGGATGTGGCACTGAGGGACATGATTAGTGGGCATGGTGGACATAGGCTGATATTTGGAGTAGGTGGATCTTTTCCAATTTTATGATTGTATTATTCGATGATTCTATGACTGACAACTTGCAAATACCCAGCCACACCAGCTCTTGCAACTGATAATAATTCTTTAGAATACACAGGCATGAAAAATTGCAGCATTTTTCAAAACCTGACATCTGTTTATGTACCTATTTTTGTATGCATTAAATTTTTAATTTGAATGCAACAACTATTGATAAAAAAAATTGAGTTTTTATTTCTGTTATGAATGAACATCTTATACCTAAAATTCAGTCCACTGAAACCAATACTTCTTTCATTTCACTAAAGCAGTGTGAAGTAGTGTTACTGAAGATTAACAAATGAATACATGAAAAAAACTACTTTACGGTACATTTTTTGCCCTCTCTTAGGCATTCTTCTTCTCATTTTAATATTGATAACACTGGCAATATTGCTTCTGCTGTGTCTTGAGATGTAAGTCAGGAAGAAAATATAAGACTATTTTCCAAATTAAGCAGGGGAAAAATCTCCTTTTTTAATGTGGTTCATAGTGTTGAATGTCATTTGGACATATGACTTAAAATGATTATATAGCCTAAAAATATACTAAGAGCAATATAACATCACAGGGTGACTTACAAAGGGTATATAAGTATATATGCAAATAACAGATGAGAAAGCAAACACACTGTAAATGTAAAAAATTTTTACATTTAAAGCTTGAAAATTTCCTCAAAGAATGTAAAAAATATCACTATCCTGTGGAAAAAAAAGAAAATCTTACCTACTTTCAGAAGCTAAATTTCAAAATTTTGATGGTGTATTTAGCTGCAAAAGCTCATTATGAATATACTTTAAAGGCACGAGGAACACAATATTGGAAAATGTTATCACTTCTAACGTAATGTTTTTTTTAGAATTAATAAATTGTTTTCAGTATAAAAGGGTACCTACACTTAGACAAAGATCCTTGTACTTCCTTAGTGGCTTCTATTCTGACTCCTTTCCTATGCTGAAACCTTCCATATTTATTGTTTCCTTATTACATAATTTCCTTTTCCCACAGGTTAAACGTATGTTGCTTACCATGATTTCTAACTTTTGCTAAACTTTTACTTATTTTCTTTCTGAAGGATATTTTATTTGACATTTTGTATAATCTTATGCCATTTAGCACTTATACACCAACCAAATGAATGAAGATTAAGTGATGGAACTAAAGCTGTACAGAAGTACAAACAGTGTGATCACAGCCTGCCCTGAGAGCTCTGCACAGAGGTCAGTGATATAAAAAGTCTGTCCTTCATGGGCTTGTCATTTCATAGCTACCTCCTTTATACTTTCCATGGTATTTGCACTTTGATCTCCAGAGGTCTTACAGTTTCCCAGCTACACTTCCACAGCCCTGTGGAACAGCATTAATCCACTGCTCTTGACTCATATTGATTTGGCTGTGTGAGCAATGTAACCTGTTCTGACAGAACCTCTCTGAATGTGCTATGAAGTCAGAGGTTTTCCAGCCATTTTTCACTCAAGTGAACACAAAATAGTCTTGCTGTGCCAAAAAATAACAGACCATCACACTAAGTGGTAATATTTGTGTTTACACTTAGGGTCATAATACTGTCATGACACAGCTAACAGCTGCAAGGTAGGCAGCTCTGGAAAAAAATATCTCTACAAACTGTAAAATTTCATCAGTCCTGCTACTACCAGATCCTGGATTTACTTTCCTGAGGGCTTCATATAATGCATCCGAAAGGATCTATGCCTTCCTTTTCATAAAAATTTTGAAACACAAAATAGAAGAAAGTAAACCAGAGCAGTTAGTATAATAACCATTTGGGTCACTTTATATTAACATTGCATATCTAACAATCTGTCTATCAATACGTACATTTGTAGTGGGTAGTTTCTTAGTTTTTAGCTGTCTATAGTCTCTACAAAAATATGCATGCTTATCAGAGTAAATGTGTAAGTTTTAGGTCTTGGCTTCACACAGCAAAATCAAATATTTACAAAATGTGTATAATAAAATCTTCCATTTATTAGTGTTATTTATATTTAATATCATTGTGTAATAGATTCATAAAGCGTCAGCATAGCCATTTGTTTGTACTTTTCAAATGCTTAGAATTTTTGGGGGGGAAAAGCGTGTGGGGAAAAAAATTATCAACTCTATACGCTTGCAGGGCCTTTATCTCACCAAAAAACTTTCTGAAGTTGTGCACACAACTTTGAAAACAGGTCCCCAAGGACAAAAATAAAATAGAATCATAGAATCCTTAAAGTTTGAAGGACCTCTGAAAGCCATCAAGTCCAACTCTCCTGCAGTAAACAGGGACACCACAGTAAGATCAGGTTGCCCTGGGCCTGATCCAGCCTAACCCTGAAAGTCTCCATGAAAAGGGCATATACCACATCAGGGCCTCAGCACCACCACCACCGTAAAAGATTTTTTCCTTATATCGAACCTAAATCTACTCTCCTGAAGTTTGAAATGCATGGTTGAAATTAAGATCGGTCACAATCAGAATGTCAAGAATAAAGTACTGTATTACAAATGCTAAGTCACAGCCAGAATCAGTGATTGAGAACCTGGTAGGAAAGCAGGGCCAACCCAGGGGAGCTCAGGTGCATGGAATACACCTGAGTGATTGGAAAGGGTGGGGCCAGGATCCACCCTTTTCCAGACCTCATTTAAGGGTTGGAAGTGGTAGTAAGGTCTTCTTTTGCTGGAGATCACTGTATACCTGAGGCCTTCTGAAGGTAAGCAGCTCTTTTCCTTCATTTCTGCAGCTGCTGCACTAGGGCTTGTTTTAATGTGTTGCAGCCAAAGACTTTATTGCCCTGCTATTATTGTGGTACTTTCTATCCCTTTATGGCATTATAACTACAAAAGAAAAATTAGAAGTCTGACTTCATTGTATATTATAAGATATAAGCTATGTCGCACCCTCTATCCTACCTCGCTTTTAGGTCCAAGAGCTTTTCAGATGTGTGTTTCTTAAGCTCTTATCCCAACAGATTAATATATAACATTATCTGGTGGTATGACTCAGAAGAATTTATGGGCATGAATTCTGCATTTGGATATAAATATGAGCATAGGAAACATATGAAAAATCCACAAGTGACTTGGATGGAGATAATTAGACTCATGTTGATAGCTGTTTTAAAAGCTCTTGATTTATGAACCTTTTAATAGCATAATTCACACAAAATTAATTATATTGTGAGTTTCAAAGAGTGGATCCTGAGCATTTATAGGCTGTTTATGTAACAATTTTTATTTAAGGCCCTCAAAGTGGATCACAAAAATGAACTTATTATAAAAATTAAAAAATCTTGCCTCCCTTCAAAACACTATTTCATCTTCTGGCTGCCCCAGCACAGAAATGAGCATTTTTCAGGAACCGTATGGGAAATAGCTTCAGCCACGTGGACCAGATTTCCAAATAGATAATTTCTACCTGAACATAAAGGTCTCAGGGAAGCAGCCACATCATTCTCCTGCACTGTTGAGCTGCAATGATTTTGCTGCAGTGATGCGCCTGACTACATGTAAGGGATTTCTGTGAGAACTTTTAAGACTTCTAATGATGATCAAGCGTTATAGTCTTCAATTTTTTTGAATATCTGCAGGACAGTACTTATTGCTATCTTGTCTGTAGCATGACATACTCCACTGAAGTGGTACTGCAAAGAAATGCAGGCATTCCTGTATGGAGTGAATTGGAAAATCATGTGTTTTTCATTAGCTGTAAGAGGACTCTGAGACAGCTGGTTTATGGTATTACAAAGTATATGAAAAGCCTTGACAGCCTTTGACTCTGTACTTGAAGAATCAGTGAAGTACTTGCCATTCTGCTGTGACTGATGAATGGGAATTCTATGGCTCAGAGAAGGTGTGGGGATTTGAACACAGGCACTTTCACTTTTGTACAAATGGGCACTTGCTAATTTACTCCTGCTCTATTGTCTGTTTGTGGTTCATTAATGAATCTGTGTTGGTCGCAGCCTCCCAGAGATGTTTTACAACATTTCTTGAATCACAAGCAGCTGGTCTGCTGTAGGAGCACAGAGCACAACTCCAGTCCTCCTCACTCTGTCCTCTTCAGTGCAGGGCCAGCCCAGGAGTCAGTGGGGCGAGTAGGAGCCAGTTCCAGAGTGGGATAGCCACCTTCCACAGGTCTACACACTGAGAATGGGCTGCAGCATGAGATTAGCAGGAAATCAGTGCTAACATCAAATTGTGTTTTCTGAGCTTTGCCACAGCTTGATTACCTTGGTGGCACTTCCAAACTGATTCTTCTAAAAACTTTTCTTCCCAATTTCTAAGTCATTACACTTTCAAAACAGTTGTGTAGGAATTTTCATTGTTTCTAGCAAAACTAGTAGAAAGAGAATTATTTATATAGCAAAGAGTAGCAAACACATATGTTTTGAAAAAGTCAGATCAATCATCCAAAAATATAACCTGCACTTTAAAGTTTTTCAGGAGCTGCACGAATTGGCAAAATGCTGATTTGTCTCTGTTGCAATCACTTCTTCCAGATCATTTGATACCCTGCAGAAGAATTTCCTCACCATATTCTGTCTAAGAACTGGACTCAATCAATCTCAATCAATTTCCATTAGTGAGAAAGCTGTCTTAAAAAAAAAAAAAAAGAAAGAAAAAAGAGCTGGTTAATTCACCATAGAAGAAACACCATTTTATTTGTTTTAAATCTGTCCAAAATGAAATTCATGCTGACTTAAGAACAAGTAACTGAGATGCAGAATTGCTAAGGATATGTGAATGAGTATTTTTCTCCACTTAGAGTTACTCTTCCAAAAATTAACTTTTCTGTTCTCAAAAACTGAACTAATGAACTTTTCTTTTTCTCAAGGTGTTTTCCAAAACACATTGATCTCGTGGTACCAGTTCACCCATAGAAGCATAGTAGGTTAACCTTGGCTGACAGATGCCTACCTAGCTAGGTAGCCACCTAGCTAGATGCCTACTCTTACTCCCTTTTCTTGACAGTCTGGAAGGAAATATTAAATGAGAAGCTCATGGCTTGATGTAAGGACAAGGAGGTCCTTAATGAATTACACTCATGGATAAAACAGTTTAAACCTGGGGAAAAATGACTTCATTTCTTGATAAATTGAGTTAGAGTTGAATTATGAGAAATAAAGAGAAAATGCAAACACTTCCCCCTTCCTCCCCTCCCTCCCTCCCCAGCTCATTTCCGGCTTTTCTAACTTATTTCTTGTGTTCCATATAGCACCTAGGGCTGAGGAATAAGAGCTGCTTTCTGCCACTCCATCTTTCTCACTTTCCCCCTCCTCCCCCCCCTCTTCTCCAGCATGGGTCCTCTCTCTGGGCTGTGATAATTCAGGATAAATCTGCTTCACACAGGCTGCAGTATCTCTACATCAACTTGCTACGGTTTGTGGTCCACCACATGCTGAAAAGTGGATATCTGCTCTGCCAAGATGTCTCCCATGGGCAACAGGGAATCTGCTCTGGCTTCAGGAGCACCTGCTTTCTCTGCTCTGGCAGTGTGTCCTGCAGTACGCATGTCTTGCAGTTGGACTGAGGCATCAGTTGGAAGTAGGTATGTCTGGCATGGGACCACCCCTTTGCCAACACCTCACCATGTAAAGCCCCTTACATGGGGCACAGCACAGTCCAGTGGCTTTTCTGTATCTTTGCTTTGTTTGTCACAGAGCTTGGTGGAGTGTTGGAAAACTCATGTTTTGATTCTTAAAAGCATTTGAGATATGATAAAGTGTTTATAACAAGGAGCAAGTGTTTAGATAGATACTCTCAAGTAACAGCTTGGTTCACAATATATGGTTTGCAATAAATGCTTAGACAATCTATTGGAATTTTTGTAATTTATTATCAGTTAAAATAAGATTCTCAAAACTAAACCTTGTCAACCTGAGTAATCTGTAAATTTTTATGAGTTTAAAATATTTTGTCTTAAATGTTAAGAAATTTATGCTGTGCAACAAAATCTGCTCTGATTTTTGCCCAGCAGATTCTCTGACAACTGCAACTTTACTGTGTCACCTTTTATGTCTGATTGATAGCCCTTCTCTAAGTCAGAGTCTAAGATTAATGATCCAGATCCCTAGTCTTGGTCACCTGATTCCCAAGAAGGACTTGGATTTGAATTATGAAGGTTAAAAAAAAGAAAATATTTTTCTTGTCTTGCAATGGCTGAAAGGTCATTCATGAGCACAAGTGGTTTAAATAATTTATTGTGAGTTACTGAGACATAACAGTTACTGATCTGTCTTTCACTACAGTGATGTTGTATTTTCTTAACTGTGTTTTTTTCTTCTGCGTTAGAATTAAATATTCTGCAGTAACCAAAAATGTTTAAGTGCACTTTGTAATGATGCATCAGACCTTTGTCTTTCATAGTCTGACTAATAGAAAAGTGCCTTTATATGACTACCTTTTTAAAAAATAAATGTTCTGTTTGGGAATGGCATGCATCTATCAGATTTGAGTGCATCATTTATTTCTGAAGTAGCCTGTGCCTACTCACTTGATTTGAGACTCCAATGCTGATCTACTTTTTGGACTTCTGTGTTGACATTGAGAGTGTTCACTCATTAAGCTTGTCTTTATTTTATATGCATCATTGTTTGATACATACATGCCTATTATGTCTTTTAGTAACTCTGAGAAGTTGCCGAGAAGTTAAAAATCACTCTCTTGGCTGCTGGAATTTCACAACTTTCATTATGTCTTCAAGACAACTAACAAAATCTTTTTTCCCCCATTTAACTTAAAATATTTATATAACCTGAAGACATTCTGGATCTTATTCCCTGAGAGAATATGAAAGCTTGATCTCTTGACAAGTGTACTTACCAAAATGTTTTTTCAATTTCATATTTTTTTTTGAATGCAATTTCTTCCTTGACTATAACTGTGAATGATTCTGGTTGCTGTGCAAAACAACCAGAACACCTTTCTTCTTCCATTTGCTTTCTTTCCTTGTCCTTTGACAGTGAGAAATGACTATAGACAGGAGTTAAGATCTCGTCATGAGGATAAGGCCATCATGGCCTTTAGTTCAAGGAAAAAGTAGTAATAACAATCATATAATTAAGAAGTAGCTGGAAAACAAAACCATATCAGAAAGAAAAGGAAGCACGGGATTCTACTACATGTTTGTTATGCTCCATGCTGAACCAGCCCCCACACTGGCCACTTTTTAATGATGCAGCCCATTCCTGCCTGAAGCTGTCAATTCTTCTGAGTCCCTCTGAGTGGTCCAGGGGTCCATGGGCTGCTGCAAATTCCCATGTTTCAGCTCTGCAGCCCAGCTACTCCCTTAAGCCCCCCTAGAGTCTTACTCCTCCTCTGTCTTACTCAGTGTGTCCTGCCCAGGCTGAACTGGACACTCTTGGGGCTGTTCCTTCAGCAGGGCAAGAAGTGGAAGCTGAAGGTGAAGGAGCAAAGTGAAAGAATATGGGAAATCGCAGCACTGAATAGAAGAAATGGGGGAAAAGATTTTAAAAACAGAAGTGCTGCTGCTACAAAGGTTGATGCTCAAGTTGTATTTCTGCTGGCCATTAAAGGGATAGGAAGACTAAGGTATGTTCGTTTTCGTTATTTTAAGGAATGCATCTTAATTTCTGTGCGCCTTACTGCTAAATCTGCTGTTATTATTTTATCCATTTTTTAAAAAAAGGAATAATTATATTGAGCTGACAAAGGAGTCAAAAGGATTAATTAATTGAAATTCAAGTGTTACAAAAATCCAATAATTAAGTTACAAGTAATAAGCCTGGAACTGGAGTTCTTGTTGTAAGTAGGCTGGCTTTATGTAGACAACACACTTTTTTTCTGTTAGACTGTGTATGTATATAACTTTCAAATGTTATACTCAAAGTTACTTGAAATGTTTACCATTTCGGAAATTTATGAACTACTTGCATCCTTGTTCAACATTCTCAGAAACTGTTGTGAAATGTGAATACAAGTGTGTTCTCAAGTCTATTAAACAGTAGAAGAAGCCATAGAACTTGCCTTTTTTCTTTCAAGACTGCTCCCTTGGTTGGCCTTAGTGATGGCTGTGATCATCTGCCAATGAAGCTGTTTTGACTTTGCTTGCACAGTGAGTATGACCTGGCTTTATGGATGAGTGTACAGTTTGCATTGATTTACATCACACAAAAAAATAAATCAGATGAAACCGCGTGAGCAGATTGTGCCAGACTGACTTGATCCCTTATTTTGGACAAGATAAGTATTCTCTTGATAAGGATAACTCTGTAGATTTGATCTCTTTGGCACTCAGTAAAGCTTTTGGCGTAGTGACACATGGGGAATTGTTCACTAAGCTGAAGAGGATGAGGATTAGCAAAATAATATAAATACAGTAAGGCACAGGCCAAATGGGGGACAATGAGATGCTTTATGCTGACAGTCAGCTGGATGGATGGGTGCTGCTCGTGCACTTCCTCAGGGAACAGCAGCCCTTCACCCTTGGCTGAGTAGAGGGATCTGCTAGTGGGGCTCTCTGGGAGATGACACTTCGGGGCACTGCCAGTACTGACTGATGAGTGCCTGATAACCACATAAGAAGTAATTATGAGGGCATAGTAGAACATAACGTGGGAAATATGTTAAGGTGAATTGGTGTAATGCCTGCAGGGGGTAAATACAGGAATTTCTGCTATGAGCTGAGAGCTATCACCTGGAAACAGGACAAAAAATTAAATCCTTTCTGGTACAATTGGGCCACAGGGTAACTGTTAGCCAGCAACGTGATGGAGCAGTGAAAATGGCAAAGCACACTAACTTACAGATCACAGCACTCCCATCCCTTCTGAGCCCTTTATAACTGGCCATATTTAGAACCTCATCTAAAATAGGTAATTCCACCTAGTCTGAAGGAAGCTCAATTCAGAATAAAGAGGATATGCAAAAGAATGATTGGATATGCAGAAGACCAGAGGGACAATGTAATAAAAAAGGCTAGGAGAGGATTAGGTTAGCTTTGCAGAAGGAAAGGTATGGAGGGATCATCATAAAAATCTTAAAACATCTGAGAGTGGTGAGATAGCTAAAGTCAAGGCTAGTATTGTCAGGAAAGATAAATTGATATAAAGTATTCAGAAATAAATTGAGGAGTAAAATTAGAAGTTCCTAACTGTTATAGAAATGAGTTTCTGATGTCCCAGAGGAGTAAAAAGGAAGGAGGAAAAATTAAGAAATGATGTTAATCATCTGAACTTCTGAATGAAACTAAGCAACCTAATCTAATGTGATGAAGGAGATCTAGAGATGAGGAAGTGGTGTTGCCCAAAAAGGTCCTTCAAGGATATATTTGAGGACTGCTTAACTGAGATAACTAAACTGGCTTCCTGCTGAGCTTACTTAGGTCTTAGCTGGAAGCAGAAAACCGGAGGATGACTACACTGGCTCTGTGGCCAGCAGTGGCATGAAAAGAGCGGGAGGCCAAGGATATGAAATCAGTGTTAACAGAGACCTAGCTGCAATGTATCCTTAATCCTTAATGTATAGCAAAAAATGCATACTGAGCAGCCACTTAATCAGTTGTCCACCATCTTTCCTCACCTTTTTTGCACTGATGTTCTCTGTGAATACTTCCATGGTCAGAGTGAGTGGGTCTTGATCTCTCAGAGGCATCCCATATGTGGTCTTATGCTGGGCAGCAAGAGGAGAAAATAAGCAAGGCATTGAGAAGTGTGCAACCCCTCATGCCAGATTTACTTCTTATTCCCATAGACACCTCAAGAAAACATAGTTCAGTGACATTGCCTATTTTAAAACTTATTCATCTAATTAGTCTTGACCTCTGTGCCTTCTTCAGAATACACTGTGAAAACCCATCTCATGCCCAGGAGCTGTTTGAACCTCTGATCCCTGCTCAGCAAAGATCTTTTTATACTCAATGGATTTATTTATTTATTTATTTATTTTTTCTGCAGAAGGTATTATTTAGAAGTGTCATTGCAGCATTTATTCCCTTACCTTAGGCTCTCCTGAACAGTTCCTTGACTCTTATGACACTTATTTCTTTATACAAGACATTATCCAATGAGTATTTTCTAGGATTGTTGATTTTAATGTGTAAACGCTTCCTTTAAAGGTTCATTTTGCATGACTCAAGGTTAAATATATTTGTTGCAGAATTGAACTAGGCAACTGTGATCTGATTTATGAAGTATTGATAGGTATTTAAAAGCAAGGCAAATTCAAAGGCAAGCCTTTGTGATGAATCTTAAAACAAACAAAACAACAAAAAAAAAACACAAAATGCACAGTTTTGTAAAATACATTCTGCTTCATATACATACATAATTTTTACCACGACCTCAGACACTAATGAGGCTGTTATAGGCACAAACCTGTGTATTTTTGACCCTACTCTAATCATACTGTAATTTACCATCCGTATCCTCCCACCCCATCCCCCTTCCCCTCCGGATGGTTTCTGTGTTAATACATTATCCACTTCCACCTGAGATCAGCTTAGTTATATTGTGGATGCTTCCTACTGGTAAGCCTTTAAACAAATATAATTGCTACTATGAGAAACAAAGGGGAAATTGTGGTCAAATTATCTAAGAATATTTTCAGTAGAATAATGATTAAAAAAATGAAAAACAAAAGCAAAAACAAACAAAAAAATCCACGCTATTTCCAACATAATCTGCAGAAGCAGAAACTGCAGGAGCACCCTGTGAGCTTAGGGTATATCTGTGTGCAGAGGCTCTGGGTGCAAAGGCCCCAAGGACAGACACATTCTGAAGGGATGTCTGGGTTGGCTCTATCAGCACTTTGAACCCCACATGATGTTACAGGGTATGGTGTGATTTTTAAATGTAAGGTGAAGGAAAAGGTGTAGACAGTAAAGTAAACACAAATCTGGAGAACAGAGGGATCTTTCCATGGCAAAAATTCTAGTTTTATTTTAATTATTATTTTACTTTTAATCCCAATGATTTATTTAGGACATTATGAATTTTTCATTTAATATAAAGCAGTACATTCACTAGGTATTTGAAAAAGTAGTACCCCAAGTATGACATACCCTTTCACTGGCTCTAATTCTGACCAGTTTTGTGAGGATCCTACAGCTCATGTCCCATAAAAATCCCAGCATTGTGTGTGACAATGCAGAGCAAGGTGACCCCATGTTTGTAACAGGGAGTGTGATGATCCTTGAGGTCCGTTCCAACCCAAGCCATTCTATGATTCCTGCAGACAATAAGATTAACAGAGTATCTGAACGTTTCCAAGCATCTGTTAGTGCTTCCTTTGTACTTTCCAGTGTGCCACTTCCTAGACTTTGGTGTTACATGTATACAAGACCTCAACAGAGGAATGTGTCCTTCTCCCTGTGCTGCGGGAATCTCGTGTTGAACAGCACTGACCATGCAAGCAATAAAGTCTAAGCTTTCTCCATGTTGAAAGATTTCAAGTTGAATTTGTTCATCTTTTATGACGTAAGAAACACAGAAGTTCAGGACACCTCAATCTGTGGAAATAATTCAATGCACATCTCCAGGATCTTCTAAAATGGGCAAGATTCCCCTATGTCTTTCTGGTCCAACAAGTTCAAATTACATGTGAGCATCCGTTAATGAATTATTTGTCTTACTACAAGCTTGTGACATGCTCAGATTAGCTAGAAAGGGAGAATATTTCAAGGATATATCTTGAAAGTTACCTAAAAACGGATCAGTACCATATTAAGACATGCTAAGGAGCTGTATGGTAAATGCCACGTACACCATTAAGAGAAATATTGAATATGCAACGGGAAATTATTTCTTTTCCACAGAGAGGACCACAGTCTTCAAGCAATAGTTGGTCTTCTGTTTCGGTCAAAATCAAAAGAAAGGAGAAGACACCGCAGTCTAGTGGAACGGTTCCTCCGTCTTCTCTTTTGCTGTGACCCCTTTTTACTTCACTGGCTGCTGGCAGGGGCCGGGGTCGCCGCTCGCGCGCCTCTGCTCCGCGCTGCCCCGAAGCAAATCCCGCCGGGGCGCTGCGGGCACCCGGCACCTCGCATCCGAGCCGCCGCCCGGCGGCCACAACGCGCCCGCTGCCCACCCTTAGGACTCCGGCTGGGCGGACTTGGGGCAGCCGCCCGGGCAGGGCTGGGGGCGGTGGGCGGAGCAGTGCCCCATGAGGTCAGCGGCGGACGGGCCAATGAGCGGCGCGGCGCGGCGGAGCCAGGGCGCCCCTCGTGCGGCGGCTGCATGGGGAGGGCGGCGGTGGCGGCGTGGGGCGGGCCGGAGGCGGCAGCAGCGGCGGTGGTGGTAGCAGCAGCAGCGGGGCGAGGGGTCCCAGTTCGCCCCCGCCCACCCGGGGGCCGAGGCTAAGGGGCGGTGTCCCGCGCGGCACAGGTGCAGCGGAGCTGGTGGGTGTAGCGCGAGGCGCGGAGCGGAGCGCCGTGCTCTGCCCCGTAGCCCTTCTCTTGGCGGCGCCCGGCGGGGGATGTGCCGGCCTCCGGGGGCGCGCCGCCCGTGGGAAGCGCGCTGCTAACGCCACCTGGGCGCCGTGGGAGCGCCCGAGGAGGAGAGGAGCGAAGCAAAGCGGGTGGTGAGGAGTCGCCGGGATCGAGGCAGGTAGGATGTGGAACGCTGTTTCGGGGGGGGGGGGGGGGGGGGGGTGTCTGAGCGTTCTGCTTTGGGCTTTCTTCCTTCTGTACGGGATCGACCGGACTGGTTGCGCTGCGGGGCCGCCTGCGTGAAAGTTGCTGTGTCTCCACCTGCTGCCCTCCGCTGTCCTGGGGTTCGGGGCTCTGCTAGGGGCGGTGGATCGGCCCCTTCCCACGAGGCGCTGCGCTCCGGAACGGCTGCCACCCGCGCTGCCCTTCTCTGGGCTCGCCTCTTCCGCGGGGCGCGTGCGGAGCGAGAGCCGCAAGAGTACAGCGCAGCCTTCTCGTGCCGTCCTGTCCCGCGGCGAGTGCCTGCACCGCACCGCCCGGCTCGACGTGCCGCCCGTTGACCGCCGGGTGTGCCGCTGCCCCGGCTGGGGCTGCCCCTACGGCTCCCTGCTCTCCGCCTGGCTCCGTGTCCGGGTGAGGGCTTTGCTGTAGCTCCGCTTCCCCCGTGGGCAGGGTGCGAGGGGCAGCGCTGCCGCCGGGTGTTGGGGCAGAGCCCGAGTGCTTGCTTAAAGCCGGAGACGACCCTGTTCTGTGCGCTATTCAAGTGTCGGGGTAGAGAAAGCCGACTGCCCTCACGTCTGTGGGGCAATAGAGCTGCTCCTGTGGGTTTCTGTATCGATTCATGGGCTGCCGGTTGCCTGGGATTACTTCTGGAAAAATGCAAATCCCAGCAAATATCTGTGCTGACCATATATAGAAATAGTCACAGGCAGAGGAACTGTAACTTCGGTATTACTGATACATGTTGACAAACTTTAAAAGAAAAAAAGAAAAAGGGGGAGGGGGGGTGCAAAAAAAAAAATCCAAGTCTACTTGTGAGAAAGATTTTGCTGGAGTAATGTATTTTCCCATGCTTACACACCACACTGACTAAAAGGCTCATATTTATTTATTTCATTTTAATTTATACATACGTACATACTGCAAAGTCAGTGAATGGCCTATTGATTTTTCTTCCTCTGCTGCTGTGTATATAATTCGACAGTCTGTGGCTTGCTGCCTTGTGTGGGACCGGGGCTGCAGTAGGTAATGCTGCTTTGGCAGCATGGAAGCCCTGTTTGGTGGGTTTATGTGTGGATGTGAGTTGGTGGTTTGTGTGGTAGCAGTTCTCTGTTGCATGGAAAAAGTACTACAGGGATTGTTAGTGTTGTGTGTCCCAAAAAGTTTTTTTGGCCCTCTTATTCTTGTCTCTTTTCAGTAGTTCTGTTATTGTCAGAAGCTTTTACATATGCAGTATTGCCTTGTAGAGGAATATGGTGATTATATTTTATAGTTCTGAATCTCACTTGAAGTAATGTGTTCTTACCTTGGTGTCATTGACCTGTTAGCAGGGTAGCTTTAGCTTTAGCAAAGAAGAATCACTTGACTTGAACTGAAGCACCACAGGCTGTTCTTTTAGGCTATTCAGATGTTGAAATCTTGCTGGATCTTAGCAGCAAAGCAGTGCAATGCTCCAGGGATAATCCAGTGTGAAATTTGTCTGAATTGCTACCAGCTCTATCAAAACAGGTTGCACGTTTTCTTCTTCTCTTCTACATCTGTATGCTGCCGCCAAACCCAGAAATTGGTTTGTTTCATTCAGAAGCAAGAGAACAGAACTTACTGAAGCTGTTCTGAGCTACAAAGCCATGTCATTCTTAAGTAGATGCATTGCAACTTTCTGGAGCAGCTGATTACCTACTTTGTATCGTGTATCTGGATACTGTCAAGTACAATCTACTTTAATTTATTTTACTGAGGGAAATTTAAAGTTCATCTTACTGTTGGCAGTATATTAATAAATTGTGGGATGCAGGCTGTGTTCTAGAGTTGGAGTCTCAGAAGCAGATTTTCATGGTGAAAAGCAGCTGTGACTGCATGAAAGATTGCAAATTCACTCTGCTCAGTGGTGTCTGAAATTTCACTTCTAAATAGGAGTGCTAAGGATTCTGATCTCTTGGTTACTTTGTAAGCTGGGTCTGAAAAACCCGCTTACTCCTCTTCTAATTCTAGAGCTATAGTTACTGCTTTTAACACTCCCCTTCTCTCCCTCTCTAAAGTCAGTGCTTGCATTTCAGTCTCAGGGCTGCAAATGATTTCAGGACCAAATCCTGAAATGCAAAAGAAAAAAAAAAATCTTCTTAGAAATTTCTCTCAAATAAAACAAAATTATGGTTTTTATGTTCACGCCTTCCTCCCTCCCTCATCCCTCCTCTCAGCAGACAGAAAGCTGCATGTCTTCTTGTAGTGTCGACAATTACCATGCTTATGCGATATTATGTGTCTGGAGAAGGAAGGGGAAGAGTGCAAAAGGTGCTTGATGCTGGAAGAAAGTTTAAAGTGATCTGGATGGTGGTAATTGATTTTGTTCATTATGAAATACTGGCTTCTTTGCCATGAAGAAGAGTCTGTACTCCCAACAGACAGTGCTTGAGGATGAGAAAGTATCTGTGAGGAATGTGAAGGCAAAGAAAGCTCTGCTCTGTGCATGGAAATGCATGCTTGCTGAGCTGAGTACATAATATGATAGAACAGTTTACTAATATTATTAGTATCTCTTACTGTAGTGACAGTTTCTCATTTAATAAAGACTTATAATTATGTTTCAAAATAGGGAGCAGTATGGAGCCATATGTGAGGGAGGATACACAGTGCCACCACCGCCAGTACCTTCAGCTATTTTTAAATGCCTTTGTGTTTGTGCCTGTATAACAAGTGTTTAAATACAAGCTGGAATGAAAAGGAAGATCCTGTTAACCCCGCAAGTGATTTGTTCTGCAAATTCATTCACTTTTGCTGTATCCTCCCCATCTTTACTCTGTTTCCTCTCCCAGAGAAGCTGCACGCCTGGCTGCTGGAATAGGTGAGGCTGTCACCTCCATCTGGCAGATGAATGATTGCATGTCAGCCACACCTCCACACAGTGACTCCATCCACCCAAAACAAAGTGCTGCAGAATGCATGGTGAAGTATATCCGTGGGAGTGCACAGTAGAAAAAAGAAATTAGTTTTAAGTTTAATCTAAGCCCTGTATACAATATTTACATTGGGAATTTGTGCTTTTTTTTTTTTTTTTTGTCTCTCTTTTTTGTTGCTTTTTTTGGGAGAGGATGAGTGCACGCTGTGATGCACTACTCCTTGTGTCTTGCAACACAGCCTGCATGCAAGGCTGGCTAGGAGCCTCAGCAAAGGCAGGAAAAGCCATTATCCTGAGTATAACCTGTTGAAATTGCTGTGTGTGAAACAGAGGATGAAGGATTAACCCCCTCATCTATTCTGAGTATGTGATTTCATGGTGGAGAGATCAATTAGTGTAAAGGAAGGCAGGGTTAAGTGTATTGTTTCATTAAATGTTTGCAAACTGAAGGCAAGAGCTTTACTGTGGTTGGAAGATTTTTCTAAGGGGGAAAGGTGAATCTGAAATATGTAATTTGTATTATAAATGATAAATATTCAATTACTGAAATGAGAGCTGGGGCAGTTTGGTACTTATGGAAATTAACCTCAATTGAGATAGGCACAGAGAAACGTTGAGAGAACAGCTACATCATAGATGATGGGAAAATGCTGCTACTGATCAGTGTTCTTACCTTTCCCACTGGCTCTTGTGCTTTCCTTCTAAAGTCACCATAAACAGAAATTATTTACTTTAGAAAACTTTCATGCAACCAGACCCTGGGTTTTGCTCACCAAGGCAGCTCAGTGTGCCAAGGCAGGCCCGTGTCACTGAGCTCCGTGCCACTCGGTGTTCAATCCCTTGTCTTGTTCCTGCTGTGAGCTTGTGCCTGGCAGTGGCAGCAGTTTGTAGCAAGTCCTTGTCAGGCAATGAGTGCCATTCAGAGTGGTCAGGTTACTTTTAACAATGGATGGAGTTACGCTCAGAATAAGTGTTTCGGATTTTAATTTTTTTAATGAGAGTGTGATGACATGCAAGGATAATCCGGTGTGTGTTGTCAGTCTGATCTTGTGCACTCCCAATATACTCCCAATGGGAGGAATGGAGAAATCATCATATGAAAAAGTTTATAATGTGGAGAAATTAGAGGTTTCCCTCTTTCTTCATACTCTATGAATTCATAAACAAATGGACTGGACGAGAAATATATTTTTATATAAATATTTATACATATTTCTCACTCACTTCTCATTTGTTTATATATATGTAAATATATTTACAAAATGCACACATGCATGTTTTGTGTGTGGTGTGTGTGTGTGTACATAATTGCTTAGAGTCTCTGTGATAATGCTCTGGTATGCCTCACTTTTGGTAAAGAGAATAACTACTCATAGATGCTGAGATTAGATCAAAGCATTTTTTTTGTGTTTAACAATTCCTCTAGCAGTACTCATGTATGCTATTCTTCCCATTACTACCTTCCTTGTAAGCACTGCTTGTGCTGGACGTGAAGATTGAGAAGTTTGCATTGGCCCTGGAGTTCTACATCTGGCATAAAGACACCTCTTCCCTGCCGAGTCTGCAGATTGTCACAGCACAATGTTGTACCACAGCCCACTTACTCCTGCTTGTACTTTTAAACAGGAGACAGTCCCTCCAGCACTCAGGACTCCTGGCTTTTGAGAAATCTTCTTAGCATCCCTGCGTGAAGGTCAGAGGTATCATCTGTGGGAAATAACCCTGATGGTCTTGAAAGGAAAAAGTACTGTATATTATCTACAAGGATTCATAAAAATAGCTCTAAGGGGCAATCTGCCACGGGCCTTCGACTCCATCATTCCATTATAAAATAAGTATATTTATTGACTTCAGTAATTATGTGAGCTTCTAGGAGCAGAAAATACATTACTAAGGAAGTCAAGTCACTCTTAAGAAATCTTAATAAATATGTAAAGAAGCAGCAAAGCAATTCACTGCTTTAAACCTTGCATTATCAACAGTTATGTGAAGTCACACTGCTCTTTATAGGATTGAAATAAAAATTCAAGCCTAAAAACCAATGACAGATCTCTCAGAAACTT